AGTGTAAACTGTTAATGAGGGTATGCCCCCTCAAAAAAACATCACTCTTTAGTCAAACTGTAGATATTTTGTACTTCTTGCTTTTTTAGAACAGACTAATTAAAAGCTAAAAACATAAAAATGGCCAGAATTAAGCTTCATTAAAACAAAGTATTGTTATTTTCATCTTAGACATGTTGAAGCTGGAACAAGTTTGCATGTATAGTACGAACACCATCTATATATATCGTCTTGTGTTGGAGCTACCATCAGCTCAGCAACAGGTTCTGGTACTGTTCTGTCTCTGCGGTGTGATACTAAAGACACAGTGAAAATAAAGTGACGCAGATGGCAGCTATTCAGCTTCATGCCCCCGTTGCCTATCGTGTCATCTGGAGATTTGCACTGAGCCCATCCTTAAATCACAGGTTTTGGACCACATAAGAATTTCTATAGGTTAACAGACATTTATTGTGCTACTTTTCATTGCTTCAGTCATCTTGATGATAACTGTCCTCAGAGCTCAATGAGACTAACCTGTATAAATAATGGTTGAATTGAATCTTGCTTAACTTTTTGGATCTTTCTGTAGGCCTTTGACTAAATAAATGCACACTTCTATTATTTATTGTTGTGTATTATTCATTCAATTGAGCCATCACTCTCACGGTCTGACTCTGGGTCTGGCTTCGCACAGTTGCTTCCTACGTGACGCCATCCCTCTTCAGGAACACCGAAGAGCTGTTTATCTTCGTGTAATCAGATCGGATGCTCTTTACAAGAATCAGTTCTCATTCTTCAGTCCTTATTGATAACATCGTACTTATCTCAGTGCGGTCATCGAGTTGAACTCCATGCAGATAGTTTAAATGTTTTTGGCAAAATATCTCAAGTGTCAGAACTGTGCCAAATTCAATAGCAGCAGGCTTCCTTTAATGTCTTAATGTGTTCATTTTGTTCTTTAACAAGCTCTATTTTAGTTTGCTTTTGTGTGTTTTATACGACAAATACGTGCTAAATGTAAAATTATGCTTTCTGAAATATTTTAACCTTATGCATTTAGTTAAAGTATGGCGTTTCCAAAAGTCTGTGAGGATTTTTTTTTTCAGAACATCAAAGAAAACTAAATTTTATCAATAATAATTTATTAATGGATTAATAAACAATGCCACACAACTTAATTCAGCTCACTGTGCACAACACAGCGTACATCTTTTTTATGAAGACGGTCTGCTGAAGTTACTGAATTCACTTAACTGAGAAAAATAGCAGTAAACATTAATCTAAAGTTTGTGATGCTAAACATTTGCTAAATATTATAAATCGTGACTCATTTTCACCACATCGTGGGTCCCCAGGCACCACTGTAATCCCACAGGTAGGGTCTGTATTGATAGGCTTTACAGAAGGTTATTAGTGATGATCTGACCAAATCCTCCCTCAGACACAGTCCATCTGCTCTGAACACATCCTTAAAGACCTCCGATGTCTGCTGCTTCCGTTTCGTTTTGTACCGCCTGTTCTGAAACCAGATTTTCACCTGGGTCTCGGTTAGTCTCAAGGTGCTGGCCAGGTGAGCTCTCTCCGAGGCGGACAGATACTTCTGGCTATTGAATTTCTTCTCGAGTTCAAGCACTTGGAGATGTGTGAATGCAGCTCTGGAGCGCTTCTGTTTCCCAGCGGAGGAGAAACTTGACTCTGAGGAGCTCGGAGAGGATGTGTGAGACTCTGAGGGACACGGGACAGAGAAGTGTCATTAAGCAGGTGTGTTTTATGAGGTTAAAGAGGGATAAACAATTATTAATATAAAATAAAATGTATCATACTTTTTTACATATTTTGCTACAACTTTCCACAGTACAATCCAATCCATCTTAAAAAAAATTTACATCTAAATTTCACTTTCAACGCTGTCAGAAACCCAGAATCTCCTGTATTATCTTTTACATTCTTGCTGTGTTTAAAAGCAGAAGCTCACCTGTCTGCATTCCAAGCATGGACTCCTGAGAATAAGATTGCGCTGATATCTTTTCAGATTCCTCTTCCCACTGTGAACATCTGTCCACCTTCATCGAGCAGCACTTGCCGTCCAGTGTTGTGCTGTCTTTCCTGGACAGAATGTCCTCAATCAGGAAAGATGTCAGGGGCTTGGCAGGGCCGGACATTTCCAGAAACCTTAGGCCTTCTCTGTATCAGAAAGCTGCAGTTGAGGCAGCGTGTGTGTCCTCACACACTCACAAGGCTTGAATTTATGTGAAGTGTAGAGGCGGGTTCATTTGGACTAAAGGGAAGGAGGCGGGACAACTCTGCTCATTTTAACTTGCATCTGTCTCTACAGGTGGACTAGACACAAATACTCAGCTCAAACAAGAGAAAGTTGTTATTACTGATGGGAATTTGCACATTTTTATTCTTTATTTTCATTATTTTGCATTCATTTTGCACATTTTTCTTCAAATACAAGCACGGTATTATGCAAAACATACATTTAAGTGTAATTTTCAGTCATTTAATAAATACTCATAAAATGACACACATTTTTTTAAAGATGACACTTTATTCACCTTAATAAAAATAAACTTTAGAAAACAAAAGTCAACATCAAATGTTTTAATGATGTTTACTCTGATAGTGACACTGCATACATTTAATAGCCACAATCTCAAAATCAGTTTTGTTTGTTCGAGTCACAAATCATCTCTTCACTAATCTAAACGAGTCAAACGTCTCAGTTTTATTTCTGTATTCACTGCGTGTCCTGTCAGGTTTGTTGGAGTCTAGTTTCACTCAAACACGCCCCTCATTCTATGTAACCGAAGGTTCCTGAATCCAGGTTAGAGTGGAGATTTTCAGGTGAACCCCCACAAGATGTGAAATGCTCTGCAAGTGTGAAGTCGCTCATGCGCTCTACAGACGACTGCAGTCCAAAGTTTTTCTGCACTAACAACAGTTATAATAAATAGCAAAGCGTTTTCTTGTGCTACTCACACTTTTTAAGCATGTAGGAGCAAAACTAATAAAACCAGAGTCCAAAGTGGCTTTAATGTATTCATCCGTTTGGATGATCATGCAGACGGTGCATGCGCAATGATCAGGGTTGCCAGATAAACTACAAATGTTTTGTTTACACCCCCCACACACTTTTTTTCTGTGCACATGTTCACCAAACGCAGCACACACCATCTTTCAACAGGCTTACCCAGCACACAATAGTTTTGGCAAAATACTATCATTTGAAAGTGACAGTGCTATAGTTCACAGTTTCTTATCTGGCAACTCGACTGCCATAGAAACTACAGCATTTTCATGTAAACCCACTCTTTCTTTGTTTAACTTAGAATAAAACACTAACGTTTCCAGAGGTTGTTCTCATGTAAACAAGGCCTCAGTCTCACATTTCTAGCATCATTTAGTTTTTACAAGATTGCAAAATACATTTTTTTTATGTTCACAATGTTTTTTTTATTAATATAGCAACGAAAAAAGAAGAATTGCTTTTCTTTGTCTTTGTCTATATGTGGAAAAATAGAGCAACAATTATGAACATTTCATCTTTTAGTTTAAAATTTGTTTGCACATCCCTAACTTATTCATACTTGGAAGTACTTAGTGATAAATTTTTAACTGCTTTGTCTTCACCGCATATTGGTAATTTTAAACCCAAGTTTTACTGTATGTTAAGCTAAAAACAGCTAAAACAACAAAAACTAACAAACATTAAGTACCGTCACTTTAACTCACAGAAATCAGGTTTAAGTGTTTGTTCATAATCTTTACAAACAAATTCTACTTTGACAAACTAAAATAAAAATTTGTTGTAAAACTGTGAGTGCTTTAAAAAGACCAAACCCTCAATTTTCCTTCAGTATATTGTCCCAATAATCAGATTCATGTGTTAATCCTCATGGACTGATCAACTCTCCCAGCAGCTTCAGGGAGACAGCTCTGTCTGCAGTAAGTGGGTGTGGGTGGGTGGTTGGTTGGGTGGGGGTCAGGGTGGGTGGTCAAACAGGCCAGAGCAGAGCACTAATGAGTCTGACACATTTAGGCCGGCTCCTGAATGGACGCCCTCATTGTTTGGGAGCTGTTTGTTTGTTGTTCTCTGCAGCTCGGGCTGACCTTTCTGCACCGACTGAGATGTTCACTGGAGTTCACCGTGTTGCTCTGGGATTTTATGCTTCATTAGAAAAACCATGAATTTAGGTATAATAAACACGACCCCCTCCACGCCCTCTGGTCCCACCGACTAACTTCAACTACACGCCAAAAGTGATGAAGTGAAAGTGATGAGTGCTTGATACATCCCCGCTTTAATAAGACGAATGTGTCACAAATGGTATGGTATAAAGTTTATTCATTTAAAAAAGTACAAAACAATTCCATAACAATATAAAAATATAGAAGAGATTGAAAATGAAAGGCAGCAGAAAGAAGAAAAAAATCTTATTATATCTGCCCCTTTTTCCAAACAATTATTTCAATCATAATAATTTTCAAGTAACAGAACAAAATGAATAACTCTTTTTAATTTTTCTAATTCTAAAACAAAAACACACTAAGCTACTTTATATATATTTTTTTTAACAATCCAGTTTTGATCTTTTTCTTAAATGTACACATTGACTTGGTATTTTTCACATCACTCTCTAGACCATTCCACAATCCAACTCCTTGGATTGAGGTAGACCTTCCCTTCAGACTAGTTCTGAATTTTGGTTTGACAAATATCTCTATCCCCTTAAGATTATAAAAACTTTGTCTTTTAACAAAATTTATTTGGATATTTAATGGTAATGTGTTATTTTGAGCCCTATACATAACTGATAAAATACTATACCAAATCATGGAACTTCAATAACTTCAGTAGATAAAATAATGTGCTTGGTGGGTGACAGTAATGCTTTCTGGTGATAATTCTTACAGCTCTTTTCTGTAAAATAAAAATAGGCTTTGTAAATGTTTTACACGCTTTCCCCCAAACATCAATGCAATAGATTAAATGTGGAACAATGATTGTGTTATACAACTCGTACAAGCTTTATCATTTAATAATTCCCTGACTTTGTATAGTACTGCAATAGATTTAGCTATTTTTATTCTTACAGAATTTATGTGATTTTTCCATGTTAGCTGTTCATCAATGATTACACCCAACAATTTCATCTCATTAACTCTACAAATCTCAACACCCTCAATTTTAAATGGATCATCAACAGTTTTCTTTTTGTTACTAAATATCATGTATTTAGTTTTATCTAAATTTGATGATAATTTATTAAGTTTAAACCAAGTTTGTATTTTATCAAATTCTGTATTCATCAATTCCAACATCCGTTTTACATCTTTACCCAAACAAAAAAAAGTGGTGTCATCTGCAAAAAGGACACATTTGAGGAGTCCTGATACATTCACTAAGTCATTCACATATAAAATAAATAACTTTGGTCCAAGTACAGAGCCTTGAGGAACTCCACAAGTGATATTGCACAGGTCAGATCTTACACCATTTATTTGTACAAACTGTTTCCTATCTTTCAAATAGCTAAATACCCAGTGTAATGCTGGTCCTCTTATAATCATATTTATTTAATTCAAGGAGAATAGTGTGGTCAATAGTATCGAATGCTTTTTTTAAATCAACAAAAATACTAACACAATACTGTTTTTGATCGACAGCAGTAGTTATTTGTTCTATTATTTCCATGAGAGCCATTGATGTAGAGTTTTTTGCTCTAAACCCATACTGACTGCTACTTAGAATGTTTTGTTTAGTAATAAATTTATCTAATCTGGTCACAAATAGTTTTTCTAGAATTTTTGAGAACTGTGGTAATAAGGATATTGGTCTATAATTATTGGACACAAATTTATCACCATTTTTAAAGAGAGGAACTACCTTAGCTACTTTCATATTGTCTGGAAATATTCCTTTTGAAAATGATAAATTACAAATATATGTAAAAGGCTCGATAACATAACTCATTATGTCCTTTACAAACATCATATCCATGTCCACCCAGTCTTTTGATCTCTTATCTGTAAGATTTTTTACAACATTCATTATTTCTTCTTTGTCAGTTCCATTAAGAAAAATTATGTTGTCACAACCTATAACTGAATGGTTCACATTATTGTGTAGTGAACCTGATCTGACCCTGATGACCTCAAATCTATCAGATGGACAGAGACTGTTATTTCATTGATCTGAATACAGTTTGAGCCATCTGGTGACTCTCTTTCTTGAATTAATCAAGCAGAAAAGACAATTTTTATAATCATCACTGTTTTACAAATGTTTGATAATCAAATTGTGTTAGTTCACTCAATGTTTACAGGTTGAAGAGAACTACTCATTTTTATTTTACATAAACAGTAAGTAATGATTTTTATTCCTCATTCAAAGAAGAAATCAGGTTAATATGCATTTCTTGATTTTTCTGTCTGCAATGTAAGTATGTTAAAGGTCGGTTTTCGGTCAACTAAAATGTTTACCGAGAAAGATGTCATGTTTAAACTTTTTCAGAAGATTATAAGTGCGAGACTCCACGAAGTCTGAAGTCCTACAATAATCTTTCTGTTCGTTACTAAACAGTCCTTGATCTTTAATAACATCTTACATCATAAACCACACCTCTATTCCTGGTCCATCGACCAATCAAAAGCTCTCAAATGACCCGGAAGTCGACCCATTTAAAATGTGGCAACTTCCCAGTTCATGTGAAGAGTTAAGGAGATGAGAGGCTGAAGGAGTTGCAAGAAGCTGAGACGCTGAGTTGCTGGAGTTTGAGCTCTTGGATGCAGACGCGTTCAGGATGATCCAGAGGCGTTTTGGAATTATAATTTCTGTTTGAACACCACGCACGACTCTCGAAGGATTTCAGCTGCTCTCAACGGAGACGCTGAAAAGTCTGAAGGATTCTATACCGACATTGAGTCATCGTCAACCAGGTAACAGTTTCTTCTTCGACTAAAGTGTACCGGAAGCAAGCTGAGATCTGATGGAGCGTGCACGTTCTGGTCATAACAGATTAATTCCCTCACATATCTCTCTGTAAGATAAATCTCCACCTTAAACTCTGCTTTCTCATAAAATCAGTACAGATATTTTAGAAATATCTGAAGCAAAGTCCTCAATCACCGCCGCGTGATTGAAGCTCATTATCTGTGAAA